AGGTCCCATGTTGAGGGGGGGACAACCCAAAATATTCAGATTAGTGATTGGTCAATATGGGATTCACATTGGTTTATTCTTAAACGTGTCCCCTCAGACTTGAATATTTGGTTACATTCTTGATTTTTGATATTGTGTAAATAAATACTACAGTTCAAAAGTTTGATGCCAATTTAAAAAAATCTTACTGACCTTATAGAATATAGAATTAGATGGAGAAATTTTGAGTTCATAGTGAAATCATTGACTTTTTATTGCAGACTGTAGAGGGATGTTTCTCTCAGGAGAAAAGCTGAAGAAAAAAACTCTTTTATATTTCATTGCTGTCTTGGAGAAAAAGTTCAGATGCTACAGAAATCGCATTTGTATTTTTTGTACCAAAAACTAACAAAAATTGTACCAAAAACAAAAACTTTGGGATCTTGTCAAATCTTAGCACAGTTTGAGAATTGAAACTATTGAGATTTCATCCTTGACTCTAGAAGAGACACATAGTAGTTTACAGGAGTCTTTTTCTTAGAAGAACAATCTAAGACTTTAGCAAAACTCTCCATTTCATCTAATTGCGGCCTAGAAGAAAAAATTAAGCGATTAAAGAGATCTCTTTTGCGATTTTTCGTTCCTATGAGCCTGTATTAGAGTAGAAGCAGGGCGGATGCTTCGGATGAGCTGTACCGGAGAGCTCCTTGGTAACCAAAGCACAAATGAACAGAGGGGCATATACTACACCCCTCCCTCCGAGCCCCAGGGAGTGAGTGAGTGAGTGTGTGTGTGTGTGTGTGTGTGTGTGTGAGTGTGTAAGGGAGGAGGAGGTGTTTCCCAGGGTTGGGTTGAGGGTGTGTGTATATGTAGGAGGGGCTCATTGTGGAGTCGATAAGCGTTGATCAAATGGGAAGAGGCGCATACTGACTTGTTGGTAAGAGGACACAGGTTTGTCGACACACACTACTCTTCCAGCGCTCCTGTGTACTGGGAGGCCGTGACAATTGTACACCTGGTCCACCTGCCTCTCACACTGGAATAATGGTGTTCATTGGGACTTCGCTCAAGTCAGTCATTAAATACTTCAAACGCAAGGGTAAGAACTCTTTGACCATGTTCCTTCAGTGCTGTCTGATGAAGATCAAACAGGTTTCTGGTTAGTTTTGTGAACTTGTTTGAATAGCTATGTGTTTTATTGATCTGTCAGCTAGTGGTTTATTTTAAATTTAAGTGATTTCATTGAATGTGTCAGATTGTGTGGCAGATCAGTACTTTGATTGTCAGGTGTGTAAGTTCAGAGTTCGTAAAGAGCTGTAAATCTGTATCGCAACATGGACAGATGAGTCATTTCCTGTACACTTAATAGACAAACCTGTTAACACCTTGATGCTGTTTATGATGACCAGAGAATGACCTTTTCACGCATAAATTGTGGTTGTGTGCATATTTTATTATACCTACTCTGGTTTCAAATATTTGCATTAGGCATAGCACAATATATTAGTAACATATCAGTCATCAGTCGATAATATATTACAAAAAATGCTATTTAATTTATCGTATTGGTCAATATTAAATTGTACTATGTGACTATGTGCATGCTCAGTTCCCTCCTAGTTTTAAATTTAGATTACTTTTGGCCTTCATCTCATTTTCTCTTAAAGTTAATCTTTAATAATAATAATTTTAATAACACTGTTAGATTTAATCTTTTTCAGATCCCAGAATATTTAATTAAATATTATTATAATATAGAAATCGTGTGTTAGAAAAATAGAAATGAAAAAATACAAAATATGTTACGAATATTGTAAATTAATATTTAAAAGTATTTTAATGTCTTAACTGTATTAATCATTATTTATTGTCTGTGCATCACTAATCAACATAGTCACAATTTGTGATCTACTAAAACCTTTAGTTCATTGCCATTAAATGCTTTAATTAATAAGATTACATTAAATAGCATGCTTTCATATAACATAATCCATTATTAATTATAATTTTTTATAAATATTTAGTCTCAGTAGTACAGAGCATAATAAACTTTTTTTTTAATAATTATTATTCATTTTTAATAATGCTAATTTATTTTCTGAGCCGCCAAAATTCGGTGGATGAGCTCATCCATATTCCAGTGTTACACGTGGTGGATGGTGACTGCAAAGTGTGTGTGTTTTGTGTGGATACGAGCAGGACCAGAGGGATTATGGGAGTTTTGAATAGGCTGATTCTGAGTGCTAAGCTCAGGCTGATGTGGAGATTGATGTTGGGCACAATGCAGGTTTTTGTTCCTGCTGCCGCTCTCCTCACTCCCTGCGAGCACACAGACAGGTTTTAATGGGTTGTGGACTGGGCTATCTGAGTGGGAGTGTGTGTATTGCCTATTCTGGAATCAACTGATATTTATTGTAGGCACTTCAAAGAGCTTGCTCGCTCACTTTTATCTCTCCCACTGAGTATGAAGGTTGTTTAAATGCTTTTTGTGTATCTGGTTTTGTTGTCCAGCAAATGGTATTGTTGGTAGAATGAATAAATGTGTTTAGGTATCCTTTTTGCTTTTTTTTCTGCCATGTGTGCAGGAGAAATTTTTGAAAACAGTTGTTATTTTTGCAATTTGCATAAATTGGTAACATAAATTGTGCACTTTATGCACATGCCAAGAATTAAGGATATACCGTATTGTCCCGAATATAAGACGATGTTTTTTTCTTGGAAATACATCTGAAAAAATGCGGTCGTCTTATATTCGGGCCAATACGGTAACTCAAATGATGTTCCAGTTCTGTGGAATTCTGTTTGTGCAGATTTTGCGTTGGTCTGGTTATGTGACAGAGTGAGCTGGGGGTTGTGACGGTGAGGAAATTTTCCCACCGGTTAATCGACGTGTGATAACATTGGTAATACCGGTATCACCGCGGGAGCGGGGGCGTTCCCTCTTTTCCTTGCTTTCCTTCACTTTTAAATAGCTTGTAAAAGTGGCGTGCGCATTTTACTTTCACTTTCAAATCTCTCCTCACTGGAGAAATGAAATCTGATCTGTGATGCGACTGTCGTTCGGCACGCTGCATTGAGCAGCCGCGTTCAGTTTTTAATTGTAGTGTCTGTTCTTTTACTGAACTAAATTATTTTTATTACTATAAAAAATCAAAACGATGGTGGGGGTCGGTGCCGTGTTGGGCAAGTGACGTAACCGGTGTTGCGGCTTAACACCGGTATCACTGTCAGCACCGTCTATCGCGGCAAGCCTAGTTAGATGAAGCCATGATCACATAACATTTAGGTACTAACCCGAGGCAAACTCAACGCATCAATATTTCCGACTGTGGACTCATTCCAGGGACAAGCCGGTGATTCGATTTTTGTTCAAAATGCTAGCTAAAAGCTAAATGCCTCTGCTCTTTTGACTTGATGTTTGGTGGCCTCACAGACTTTAAACAGTTAATTTATGTCCTAAACAAGAGAGATCATGTGAACCTGCAGCACTTGTTAGATGATTGTGTCATTCACGGCTGTATTTGTAACGTGTGTTTTTCTGCAGTACTAAATGCCCTCTGCATCCTCCCTTGTGTTTGTCTGCTTTGTTCTGATGTCTGCACATTTACAGATGATGCCTTTGAGGAGAAAGTGTCTCTTTGAAGCCCACAATTGATTTGAACAACAATAAGTTCAAAGGCTCAGTGTTGTGGTCAATAAACAGAGAAAAACCTGGAGGGGGAATGAAAAAACATGTTTTCACACTTTGATTGCAAGTTTGATTGCTTGAGTTTGATTCCAGCACCTTCCCCCTGTCCCACTGGTGTCTTTTCATATTGTACTTTTGGATCCAAACTTCTGTACGTTAACATAATACTTTTTACTCACCAAGGATTAAATTATTCAAAGGTGACATTAAATTAATCAAAGGTGACAGTGACATCATGGTTTCCAGAAAAATATTCAAAAGTATAACTGTTTTGGCTGCTGAAAAGTCTGCTTTAAATATATTAGAAAATACTTTATTTTATTTTTTTTCTAATTATATATCATGTTACTGTTTATTTTACTGTATTTTTGATCAAATAAATGCAGCCTTGGTGAGCAACAAAACTTCTTTCAAAAAAAATTTTTTTTAATGTACAAATTAATTAAACATGTAATTATTAAATTGTAATTATATTTATTATTCTGTATTTTTATTCTATTTTATTATTATTTTATCTATTTTATGGCTTTTTTGTTTAGTTTTTAGGGTTATAATTTTATTTTATTTATTTGTTTATTTTTGTTTATTTATTTATTTATTTTCAAATTGAAAACGAAAAAAAAAAAATCTCCTACACAGAAATCTCCTGTACAGAAGCCCTTGGTAGATTAATTTGCAGTCACACATCAGTATGTGTTAGTCTCTCTGAAGAGTAAGAAATCACTTCTATATTGAAAGTCCTGATGTCTTATGAATAAACACAATGGCCTCCCGCGGTCTCTTGTTCTCAGTCTGGCAGCTCTCACATGATGGGCCATCACGGCCTAACGGCCCAGTGCCACCTGTGCACACACAGCTTCTCACACCTGTGAGAAAACCCCCACCACTGCTCCTCTACTCTCCCTTCCTCTCACGTTAAAACGACCAGCCTGTTGTTTTTGTTTGTTTGCTGTCGGGACAGCTGGGGGTTCAAGCTCCAGGGGTCTTTCCTCCAAGAATTCATCTTTACCTCATAGCCCATTTGCACCTCGTCAAGCTTGTACTGGTCTTCTTGTTCACTTTAAGTCACTCTCTGGTTCAAGTTTTTAGGGTTCACTCAGTTAAGTTTTAACACAAGATTGTAGCCAACTTTAAAACAAAATGAAAGCCTTCAAGAGTCCTTTTGGCTTTGTTTTGACTCACAGTTAGTCCACAAATGGTCTCTATTACTTGCATTTGGTTATATGCGCATGTTCTTTACATTAGGTGGCATGAGTTTAGCTACAAGTAAACAAGTATGTTCAATGTTTATTGCGGCATATAAATAATTTTTAACCTTTGTGTGTTTTTTTAGCTGTATCTAATCTGGATGAAGAGAAAAAGTGGACTGTGCACTACACGGCTCCATGGCACCAGCAGGAGAACGTCTTTCTGCCGGGCTCCAGACCAGCCTGCGTGGAAGACCTGCACCACCAGGCCAAAGTGAACCTGAAAACAGCTCTCAGAGGTAAGAACCGCACACCTTGCACACCAGATTCAACGTCAGACCCGCTGCAGTGCTCATAACATCAGCATTGCTATGGAACAAACACACTGAGCAGCAGGTGAACGGGCCCATGATGTCATTCATGCTCACTGGACACCTGTGAAATGGCCTGTTAGTGACATCCAGGGGTCGATTTAGCAGTACAGATCAAGGTTCGATTAGCAGATTTTGGCCTAGACTTTAATTGTAAACCGAGACTGATCTAGCAGTGCAGGTGGCTGATGTAAAGCCTGATTAATTATACAGGAACAGGTGTGTAGGTCATATTACTATAATAGAGACTGCAGGCCTTCAGATGGCAGAAAGGAAGACTGGAAGACATGAAAACAGGTAGATCTGTACCATCAAACACTTTTCCCAATGCTGTTGTTTAAACTTCTCACTCACATTTTCTTTTCTGACAGTCTCTCTTTGATTATGAAAAAAGTTAGTGCTTAAACACTTTTTATGACAAGTTAAAAAGTGTTTGTAAACTTGCTTGTCTCTTTAAAGTCTTAGCTGACAAATATGTGTTGATGGAAACCATAAAGGATTGGCAAACAAAATAAATGCTAGTTTTGGGGAATTAGAGGAAGGCTTTTTAACAGTCTGTCTATTTATTTTACACTGTCTGGATTTGTCTCTTATGTTTATTGCTCTTGTGCGTGGGTGCCCAAACTTTTTAATAGGAAGGGCCAAAAATCCAATTTGATTGATGGCTGTGAGTTCAAAGTAAATGTTGCATTATGTCCAAATATGTGTTATATGTTTTACATTTTTAATTAATTAAACATTTAAATGACAATTTTTTAAAATGTTGAAACTATTTTTAATTCATGCACTTACAGTTTTTATATTTTAATGCAAGAATAAAACTTAAAAAACATTGCTCTGTTTGTTTAAGCATCTTGACCAGCCCGACACAGCAATTGTGAGAATTCGTTTTTTTGGCAAATGGCGAATGAACGCCATTTGAATGAACCTGTTTGCAAAACAATTCAATACTTTTGCAATTCGGTTTGGTGCCGTTAGTGGCACAGAAATGACACACTTCAGCTGTTTAATGGGGTGCATCGCACAGCTGCAGTGCAGTGTCATAAAATGAAAGTCAGGAAATTAGGAAAGACATGCAGCAGATGAGCGAGTGTTTGTCAGCAGAGAGACTGCTGGATTCAGCTGACTGGATGACTAAAGGGATTGTGGGATGTGTACCAAGGGGACGTAGCTGCCATCTGCAACAGTTAGCTTAAAAAGCCAGTATGATGCAGTCTGCACATTGTCAAACACACACACAAACATACAGAGCAGAACACATCTCAGTCTACTCTTTTCTAATCTCATTACCAAGCCTGTCTAACAGCAACCATACTTTTTTTGTAAAGTTAGTGTAAAGGCACTAAATAAAATTTGAATTGAATTGTTTTGTTATTAGTTGGATCAAACAATTTCTCTTGACATTGTTCCTTATTTTCATGATTAAAAATGGTGAGTTCACTCTCAGACCACTAGAGGGAGCCAAATAAACACTATCTACTTCTATGCTTCAATTCATGTTTGAAAGTTCTTTAAAACTTCCTTTCAAACTTGTCCTGATGTATCTGCTCTGTTCCCACAGAATGTGATAAACTAAGAAAAGATGGCTTCCGCAGCTCACAGTACTACTCACAGGGGCCCACCTTCTCAGGCTCCACAAACTCCCAACATGAGGACGAGGATATCGAAGATGATGACGCTGATAAAAAGGTAGGCATATTTAAGAATTTTTTTTCTGGTTATTAGTATTGGTTTTAAACAGATTTAATAATATAGTTTATAGTATGTTTACATATACTGTATGTATATGTACTAAATATGTAGCCACTACAATAAGCTTATTTAACACATTTTATATATAGTTCAAAAAAATGCTTTTATCTATGCCAGGTTTCAATGTACTAAAACATTTTCCAGTGTTTTTCGCTGTATATTTTAATGTTTTGATGCCTGGTTTAAAAGAAAAAAAACATGAATTAAACTGGTGTTAAGTGTATTATTTGTTAGAATAGATCTACAATATTTGCCATCATATTAATTATTGGCCATAAAAAGAATGATCTGTTATAAAATCAGTACAGAACGTGTCTGTGATTTTTTTTTTTCCCAACCCAAATGTATAACCCTAAACACTGTAGCAGCCTGTAGGGTTTGGCTACCCTTTGCTGGAGAGAGTGTCTGCCTGCAGATGGGTTCTGGGTACTGAATCACAACCTCCCACATGTTCCTCTGTGGAGTTCCTGCCTCAGTTCTTCAGTATCTCTGCTGGCTTCATTAATGTTGTCAGCCATGTGTGGCCCCATTATGAGAGCTGAACCCCAGGAGACTTACACTCTAATGAAACTATTACTTAGAATGTGCTAGGAAGCAACGACTGCGCTTGTGTTATTTACTGAGATTTTTCGTTCTACAAAGCTGCTGTTCAGCCTGTGCGCACTGAACATGGGTTTGAAAGAAAATGACTTTTATTGAATGGATTCAAAAATTATGTGGTTTTGTTTATAGCACGGCGATCTTAACCTTGCCCTCATTCTCCCTCATTTCTTTATCGCTCCTAATCACACTGCGTTCAGGGGCCCTGGAAAGGTCAGACCCTGAAAAAGCAAAGATTCAGGGATCCTTTTGTCCTCCTACTACCCTTAGCCCTCCCTAAAGGATCCCATGCCCTTTTAACCTTCTTTACCACCCTAGACCTGCTTTCCCAGCCCATTGGGATGAGTGCTGGACTGGTCTTATACTTATGTTACTCTTTCCTTTTACTTATGTTTCTCTTTCCTTTTTCTTGTCCTTTTTTTTCTTTATTTTTTTCTCTTTTTTCACATTTCAAGATGTTTTTTCCATGGCTTAACATCATATACATAAAAATTGTTTGCTGCTTTTGAAAAGGCTTTTGTTGCTTTGTTATTTTTGGTTTTAAATTAAAAAATTCATTTAACTATTTTATTGGAGCAAGCTTTTGTAGAAGTAGTCACTTGTCATTCCACTCTGACTGAGGCAGGACAGGTAATAAAATGCTGAAACATACAACAAGACCTCAGGCAGCTGTGAATAGGTTTTGGACTATTGTTAGTGACCTGGGTGGATCATTAAATGTATTGTAGTGATTAAACTACAGTTGGTTTGTTAGGGAGACTGAGGGAGGCCCAGGTGTTACATTGAAACTTCAGATGGTTCACTTGTAACTCTGCTGCGAATTGCGTTCCCATTTCAGAATTACAATGCGTGAACAGAGTTTTAACGCCTCACTGTTTTTTTCCCCCTCTCAGCTCCCGTTCTCTATTCTTTCTCTGAGTTTCTCAGTGTGTTTATGCGAGTGTGTGGATTAATGGTTAGTTGCCCGTGAAACTGCTCTGTATACTCCTGGAGTTCCAATAAGTCGGGGCACACAACCCTTAAACAACCCTTGGCTAAAGTTAAAAAGAAATAAGGGGTATAGGACCCTGAAACTGCCTACTAGTCTCAAAAATGCCTTAGTTTAAATTTTTTTCTGCTTGCTTATATCTATAAGCCCCCTGCAGTCATGAAACTCACTGTATTTTCACCTCTTTTCCAGTCCACAGCATCTTCAGGAGAGGAAGAGAAAGACACCTGCCAAATGAGAGCACAGAGTCCAGTCCAGGTGGAGGGGGTTGAGGTTGGTGGACAAATGTCACGGTCCAAACCTCCGCCCCTGCCCACTCCAGAAGAGAAGATGAGGCAGCAGGCTCAGGCTGTTCTCACAGATATTGTCCCCATCAATGTCACAGGTAAGAAATACATCCCGTCAGCTGTCAGTCAAACCAGCCAGCACTGCAGAAATGTTAAAAGTGTCACTTCCATGCTGTGTCTTCGATGTGTCCATATGTTTGTCAGCAGTGTTGGAAGTAACGCATTACAAAAGTAATAATATTACAGTAGTATATTACTTTTTGCTGTAACGCAGTAATATAACGCATTATTACTAATCAAATTTGGGTAATATTATTACTCGTTACAATCTCAGTAACGCAAGTTACAACAACATATTTTAACTCAAAATTAAGTGGTGAATTTACTAACACCACAAAACAGCACCAGAGAAAAAACGCACACACATACAGCATTGCAAACGTTGTAGCCTGTTCATTATCAGAATAAAATAGTCAACCAAACATATAGATACACTGGTTAATTTAAATAGTGCGTAGCCTACTGTGTAGTACAATCCCCGATCAGCCTGAGCTCGGGCCAAACACACATTTGCTCATGTGACGAGGATGTTTTTTAAGTGCGTTAAGTAAGCTTGGTTTACATAATAAATAATAGTTTAGCATTCAAATACATCGCAAATATGGACACATTTAATTGGATTAATGCCGAATGAGAGAGGTAGGCTGCGCGAGAACGCCGTTTGCTTTCAGTTTCGCATTGAATTAGCCTATTCGGTTTGGCTTGTTTAGCAACTTATATTTTTCATTTTTGTTTTCTTCTGAAACCGTTCAAAATAGCCTATAGGCTAGGTATTGTGTTTATTGTTTGTACATGATAATATTTCGCCTTATTTACCAGTGTTATTTATGAATGTAATAATGCGATTTGTGCTTATATTTTTTAACCTAAACTACAACGTAACATTAATGTAGACCTACATACCGGTATCTAAATATGATTTCATATTTTATGCTATATAGACCTACCACATTACACTCCACTGAATGTAGTATGAACAGCAATAAACTACATTTTGGCATTTTACAATACTTATGTGGATATTTTGGATGAAAGTAACTCAAAAGTAACTCAAAAGTAGTGTAATGCATTACAATTCAGAGACAGTAATATTGTAATGTAACTAATTACTTTCAAAAGACAGTAGTAATATATAGTAACTAGTAATATATAATGTATTACATTTTGGAAGTAACTTGCCCAACTCTGTTTGTCAGTCTAGAATTCATATAGTTGGTCTGTGTGTTACACTCATAGTTTTTTCAAAATCTTAGAATTTGTAACTGGATTTATCTGTAATTCCTAATAACTTTTTCCTAACTGATATGTCTGTTTCTAACATTTGAGTACTGCATGCATGACCACTACTTACCTGTTCTGGGTATATAACCATGTGGATAGATCTAATATGAATATGTCTGAGTGCATTAACAGTTCTCATATTAACAGTTCTGACATTTCCTTCTCTCTCTTTGGCCTTTGAGAGTATCTTCTTGAGCATTAAATCTCCCTGCCAATGCACAAATTCAGCTGTGCATCACTGTGAAGTACACACTCACACACACCTTATCCAAAAGAACACAGTCTCACCTACGACATAGTCTCTTCCTCAGACAGAATAAGCTCTGAATTTCCAATCCCTTCAAAAAAATTCTGAACTTCACTATGACTCAGGAAGAAGCTGCTTTAGACTTTAAAGCACACACACATACACAAGCCCACACTAATTCAGTCTGTCAGCTCCGTGACTTAGTCAGACATCCCAGCGTGCTGAAGCTTAGTCAACAGTGCCCAGTCTCTGGAGTTCCCTTGCTTTTGCAGTGCTACAGCACATCTTACAGCACAAAAGTGCTTTTATAGATAAAATCCTGTTTCTAATATTATATTTCAAATACTTCATATAGAGTGAGAAGAGAACTTTCTATTTAGATCTAGGATCCCCCTAGTATACCACAGATCAGAGCTGTATCCCCCATACAGCCTTGCAAAGGCAAATGCAGTTTGCATGCATATATTGTCCACCCAATCTTGAACATAGTTACATTCTTGACACAGACACACTTAAACATAATTGAGTGTAGATATGTGTGCAGTTTTGTCTTTGTCTTTGTCTTTGGTTTTCACATCATTTGCTTGTGCAGAATGTGTGTGGCTTTGCATAAAAGTACTGGAACTGGATGTGTGTGTGCGCTGCATGTGTGATGCATGTATGTTACTAACTGGCCCTTTTGCCTGTCTGCCCTCGTCAACTGGTCTCCAGGGGAGACGTTTGACAGGCAGGCCAGCATCCGCCGCTCCCTAATAAACACTGACACTCTGGTCCGTCGGCCCAAGAAGGTTAAGCGGAGAAAGACTATTTCAGGGGTACCTGACCACGTCCAACAGGAACTAGGTATGATATGGCTTTGCCAGCTCGCTCTGCTGCTGCTCCTGCCTCATTTGTTTCCATTTAGATGAGTTTCATGTAGTACTGTAGTTGTCATGACCATCTAATGTAGTTTGACATGAACGTGCCTCATTCCTATCTCAATGCATTTTCTTTGCATTGATTTTAGAAATCTTAGAATTATCCTAATTTGAGCTCTTTCTCTATCCAAAATAAATTTATTCCTATTTAAAATTACTGTCTCAAGAGTCTATTCTCAACTCATGTATTGATTTGCTCATCATAACAAAATCTCTCGTGCCCTAAATGGGGATTTTGTTTTACTTCTTTTTTTCACTGAGTCTTTGCATGCATTCTCTTAACACTCTCTGTTATATAATCTCAGCATCCAACAGCTGCATCCAGCGGCATTCCATTTCCCACCACTCCCCTGGGTCACGGTCCCTGATTCTGTTTAGTTTGCTTCCTGTTAGTGTATGTGAGTACTGATTTCGGAGCCATTGTTGGAGATGGCATACTACATTTTGCTTTGCAGCCAACTGAAGCCACTGCATAATCCCCTGTAAAGATTCCTCTGGCAAAACACTATCAGGGAAGTAATAGAGGGGGCGGGAAGAGGTAAAAAGACATAGTAGAAGAAGGAAAATTGCAGATAGTCATAGTTGGGTGTGTATTATGAGCAAGTATATTCATATATATATATATATATAAATTTTCAATAACACTATCATACTGTTAAAGGGGTCATATGATGCGATTTCAAGTTTTCCTTTCTCTTTGGAGTGTTACAAGCTGTTTGTGAATAGATAAGGTCCCTAAAGTTGCAAAGACTAAAGTCTCAAACCTAAAGATATATTCTTTATAAAAGTTAAGACACGTCCACGCCCTCCTAAAACGCCTCGTTTAAACACGCCCCCACATGTCTACATCAGTGTGTGGGAAGATTTGCATAACACCGGCCAAATGTTCACGCAAAGAAAGAAGGCGGAACTTTGATTCTCGCTGTAGTATTGTTGCCGCCGCCATGTCGTAGAGACGGTGTGTGTTTCGTTGTGAAAGCAAAACTACTTTGTTTGGTCTTCCAAAAGAGGACACAACTAGAAATTAGTGGTTAAGTTGTATTTACAACACTGTTCCAGAACAGTTCAAACCAAATATTCAGATGTGTGCAACGCATTTTACGGAGGACGAGGACTGTTTCCTGGGAGAGTAGTCTACAATGCCGGTGTTCCGGTGAATTCAGTTCCCCTGTTTCCCCTTCGGCGCGCATGCTGACCCTATACAGTCTATGATGCTGACAAATAATGTTGACTCAAAGCCTGGAAGTATGTTTTCATATTTAAAGGATTTGCCACTGACGATTCAAACGCGAGTTTTGAGCAGTGTAGAGTAGCGCTTGTTGTTTGTCGTTTCTCCGATCACAAATGCAGACATGGTTTTATGTTTACGCGGCGCGATGCAACGCAACGCGTAAAAAGACAGTATAAGTAATTATAATCAGTAATTATGTCCCCACTGGATGCAACAAATTCCTCGTTTATAATGGGTTTTATTGGTTTTGTCTCGTTGCGCCGGTCACAGTATGGTAAGGGGCGTAACATTTCCGTCACACGCTTGAGGTATTCAACCAATCACAACGCACTGGATAGCTCCATTTCTGTTTGCGCACATGCCAGATTATGGGGATTGTGGAAAGGGCATTCTGCATCACTTTTCGTGTTTTCTATTTGTAGATATGCTTTTAATCAACCCTTCTTTATCAGAACAGATGGGTGTGGGGGAGAAAGCTCTTTAAAGATCTTTTGCTGATAGCGAAGCACAATAAATCTGCATTAAGTCCCATTCTGTTTATATATGCAGGGGTAAGGGCTAACTTCATGCACCAGTGTCATATCTCTGGGTCTAAAACTAAAGTTGATCTGATAGAAATGCTTTTAAGACAAGTCTCTGTCTGGTGGTTAGAATGTCATGATTACTTTTGTATGGTAATTTATTCACTAACAGTGAGCGTGACATGCAAGGTTGCACTCTGCGGTGTGTATGATGGTAACAGGAGGCATAATGCATTAACAGCCTGTGGTTTTCAACTAAACTCTAAACGTGTTTGCATGCATATATGAATAAGCCCATAAATATGTGTGGTTACACCATGCTACACCATGTGCCTGTCCCCCTTTCGAGCACCAGCTAAGATCCTTGATTTAGTGCACACACTCTCATTGACACTCAGGAATGGACAACATATTTGGTACCAGCCATTAAGTTATCAGTCTTCATCAAAGTTTCCAAAAGTCATCAACATGCCACATGTGGCTGCAGCTAATCAAATTAATTAGCTCTCAATAGAGAGGGTTAATCTGATTGGCAGCTCATGTCACAAAGAGATGGAAGGGAGGGAAACAAAGAAACAAACAGCTGTAGTATTTGTCATAATTGTCTCTTTTCTGTTTTCTCTGCAGCGGCTAAAGGGCGTGGAGGAGAGCTTCGGCCACAGTCCATGCTTATCCCTGGACAGTATTCAACACTTGGGCGAGTCATAAATGGGAATTCAACTCTCCGTCAATCTATAACAAAGGATTCTGGCTGCCAGACTGAGGATTTGAAAATCGTCCCACCCTCTGTGAGGAGAATACGGGCTCAGAAGGGCCAAGGAATTGCTGCTCAGATGGCTGGCATCTCCACCTCTGCCACAAACATCTCTTCTGTTTCTGATGGGAGCTCCCCTGGAAATTCAATTGTTGTAATGGCTCCACAGTTTGGCAATGATATCCAACGTTTTCACAGCTTGCCACGAGGTGCACGGGTCTCTCTTAACGCAGAGCCCCTTTACAGTAGCACCCCTTTCCGGCAAGAATACTCCACTGCAAAAGCAACTCAGCAGATTAGAAAATTACAAGTAGATGATACTGTGGTGCACATGAGGAATGCCCCCAGGGTATGCACCCAAGCACGGCCCAAATCTCAGGAGTTGAGAGGTACTCAAAGGGAGTGGGGATCTGTCTCGGGTCCAGCCTGTGTAGTTTCTCCACATGCAGCCTACTCAACCTCCCTTATACCCAATGCTACTCTATCATGCTCTGCTGAGGTTATTGCACTTCACACCACATCAAGCCCTGGCCAGAGCCCACTTGCTGGGTCACCATACACTAAAGCTAGACCTCTTAGCATGGTCTCAGCTGTCAACAGTGAGAGCACCAGTAGTGTGGGCACAGGATCACACACACCAGAAGCTGGCATGAAGGATACCTGCAGTGAGACTGGCCAGTCTGATAGCAGTTTGCACAGCCACAGCACCCTTGCCGCAGGAACATTGTCTTCAGAAGAGCAATGGATTTACGACACTCCTGAGAATGTCTTGCCCAGAAGGACACTATCTTCCAGCTGCTCAACACCCGTAAATAATCTCTATAGTAGCCTTGAACGCTCCTCAAAAGGCACAGACTCTAGTTCGCTCTACTCAATGGACAATGATGGCTACTACACTTCCATGCATCTGGATTCAGGCCTTAGGTCAAGGAGCCAGGGTAGCGGCCATTGTCATGGCATAGGAGGAAGAGCGGCAAGACACAGTATGTATGTGTGCCTGAGTCAGCAAGAAGACCGAAACAGCATGTACAGTGACCGTTCACTGTCACGTTCCATTTCTCTACGCAAACCTAAGAAACCACCTCTTCCACCAGCACGCACAGACTCTCTACGACGAAAGCCTAAGAAAGACAGTTCTCCCACTGCCAATATTGGACAGTCAGATATTAGCAATGGTCCTCTTCTCAATGAGTCATTGATTGCCACGCTCCAACAGTCACTTCAGAATGGGCTAAAAGGCAAAGGGTCCTCCACCTCACCGTCTCACAGTCCTTGTAGTGATTATGAGGAGCCCTGGATGCTTCGTTCCAGGAGTCAGAGCAGCATCAGTGCAGGCAGTAGTGGTGTATCAGCTACAGGGATGGCCCATGTGTACTCCATTTGTCACGTCACACCTTCTCATAGTGACACTAGTAGCCTCCGTTCTGATTATGCAGACTCCTGGGCCTACTACATGGAGTACCCTCGTCCATCTGGAGATCAGACACAGTCACCATGCACCAATACACTTTCTGTTGGACAAGTGGTTGAAATGGCAAATGCAAAAGGCTTCCACAATGGTAACCAGGCTAATCTTCCTCCTGCTCAGGAAGGAAGTGATGTGTGTGTGAAGCCCAGAACAGGCACCTCATCACCCGATAGGGTACATCGGTTGACTTCTCCATCAAGTGGATACTCGAGTCAATCCAACACTCCAACAGCTGGCACTCCTGTTCCCTCCTTCATGAGATGCATGTCCCCATCAGGCAAGCCCAAACCCAGAGTGCCTGAAAGAAAATCATCCTTGCTTTCATCTGTATCCATATCATCTTCTTCCACTTCTCTTTCCTCCAACACCTCTGATTCCAACAGGAACAATGTTCCTCCTCCACCTCCTCTTCCAGCTGGCCCTGTGGCTCTTGCACCTTTTAATCCTCCATCCTTTCCTCCTCCCATTCCACCCTCCAGCCCTGTGTGCACTATAGACCAGAAATGTCCTCCTCCGCCACCTCCTTTACCCACAACCCCCCATCAACAAGCATCCATGAGCCCTCCTTACATCAATTCCTCCCCTGAATTTCCACCGCCTCCACCTCCAGAGGTGTTGACTGACCCTGTCTTGTCAAGCCTCAATAGTTCTTTCACTCCTCCACCACCTCCTCCACCACCACCACTGCCTGCTTGTTCTACCATCCCTGCTTATTCTCCACCCCAAAATCAACACCTACCCAGCTTGACACCACCTACACCTTCCTCTGCTTGCTTAAAGGAAATTAAAGGTAGCCTAAAACCAGTGAACAGAGAAAGAAAACCAGTGTCCCCTCACTCTGAGGAGCCTAGTAAAATTGGCATGCCTCTCATCACCCCTTTTGCCCTTCAGAGTGTGCAACTTCGGCCAGCAAAACGGCCAGAAAACAATGGAGTTAGCCAGTTAGCCAGACCCCAATCCCCAGAGAAGCCTATAAAACCAGGGCATCCCACAGTTCCTCAGGGCATGCTTTGCATACCTCCAAATTTAAGGCCATCATCTCCACAGAAAAAACTCTCCATCCAGCACAGTCAGGATAGCCATGTTGAAGAAAAACCTGACGGTATAATATCACATTCTGAACAGACATCCTGCTTTACAAATGGTTCCATAGATCTTGATGAGGTTAAGGCCACAGCTGAAGTAGATGATCTTGAGACTGTCCTTGCATCACCCGCGGAAACACCACAAAATACTACACCCAAGAAGAAGCCTCCTGTGGTCTCCAAAAAGCCCAAGTTCATACCTCCAAATTTAAGGCCATCGTCTCCACAGAAAAAACTCTCCATCCAGCACAGTCAGGATAGCCATGTTGAAGAAAAACCTGACGGTGTAATATCACATTCTGAACAGACATCCTGCTTTACAAATGGTTCCATAGATCTTGATGAGGTTAAGGCCACAGCTGAAGTAGATGATCTTGAGACTGTCCTTGCATCACCCGCGGAAACACCACAAAATACTACACCCAAGAAGAAGCCTCCTGTGGTCTCCAAAAAGCCCAAGTTTTCTCTCATCTTTTCCTCAGTGGATCATGTCAGTGATTTGCAAGGTGCTCAGAATGACGATAACATCTCTACAACTACAGCTGAAGATCTGGACCCCACACCTGTGCCAGAACAGGAAGAAAAGACAACTGAGAAGGATAGCATTGACATTTCTTCACCTCCTGAGGAGATAAGAGACATTTCGCCCACAAATGGTGAAGCTCGGGAGTTCTCCCAGACTCCTGGTACCATCATTCCTGATGCAGACAAGGGCACCTCTAAAGCAGAGGATGAAGAAAGAGATGATGAAGATGTAACCAGCAGCACAGGATCTTTTGGCTCTAAAGATGATGAAAGTGGTGAGTTAGATTTTCCTAATTTTACTCTGTGGGGTTGGAGATCATTTATAAAACTGGATGACACAAAATCATACAACTATAAATACTCTGGCCTTTTTAAAGAGTCAGAGACACTATTGGATGACATTGTGATCTTAAGCTCTAAATTACATAAAGAGAGATGATAGGAACAAGGGGATGGATATTGGCACTTCAGCTTGTATTAAAATAGCATTGTAAAGAAAAAGAGAACTTGTGTATGAGTGCATTTGTGCATGTAAATCAATAGGTGGCTGATTTTGCTCACCTCCACCAATGGGTGAATCAGGGCTTAGAATGGGACATCACTGCAGCAGCCCTTTGGATTCAGTACTTTTACTTCTCTCTCTCTCTTTCCCCAACTCTATCACTATAGTCATTCATTCAGCCACCCATCCCCTCTCACCATCTGTCCCTTTGACTTTTGATTCTTTCATCCTCCTTTATAGTCTCACTCTCTTGTTGTACTTCTCTCTCTTATTCTTCTATTGTTTATTCTTTCATTTATAGATTTTCTCACCAGTTGTTTTGCATGCATGTTACATGACATGACAAATGTAAATGAATAATAATCTTAATAAATTGTTAAATATTTAAAGAATTTAAAATAATTAATATATATTAAGAGTACTGACATCAACTATACACAGACATCTCTTGAATATGGTAATCAAAACAGAGGCTGTTTAAAGAAGGTGTGCAGCTTACATATCAAGACTTTTTTAGGTATTTCTCTCTTATATTTTTTTAATTATTACAGCTAAAGTGAATATGTGCATCTCTTTCAACATCACCGGTGTCACAGTGTCCACACTCTCTCCCCCTCACACTTCTAGTCAGAGTCAGGATAGAATGGGACAGCATTCCCTAGGGAGAGCCGTTTAAACGGGATGGGGAGGGAAGTGGAGCTGACAGTGGGTATAGGAGGAGAGAAGTGAGGGAGGGGTAGGGAAGAGAGCGTGTAACGTGAGATCACCCTCAGCAGCTCAAGCAAGTGCAGATGTGAGATGAGAAGAGAGCAGAGCAACTGAACTCTGGAAAGGTGGATACGACCATAACAATGTAAGAGAATATTAAACATACAGCTTTTTACTGTCTTCATACATGTTATAATTGAAGATCTTGAAGCATATGTGTGTGTCCTTGGATTTATTGACAGCTGTACGTGTCTTGGTACTTGAATGAAATGTAGGACTCTTTTAAAATCTTGTTTTCTTATATTTTGCATAATACCATGTTCAAGCTCTACCAGTGTTTTAAATCTGCATAGAAGGTTTTCCTCTCCGTGCTTTGAATGTTTTTGTTAGACAAGTTTGTCCAAACATGCCTATGCATTTTGACGTAACAGTATCGAGTTCTAGACTGCAAGGCATGTATTTATGAGCAAGAGAGTTACCACTTTGACAGCTGGGGTTGTTATTATCAGAGCACATTTACATTACATTTATGCATTTAGTAGCTTTGATACATTTGAGATGCTTTTGTATTCAAGGAATCAAACCCATGACCTTGGTGTTGGAAGTGCAATACTTTATGATAGGAACACTGTGGTATTATAACAACACTCTCTTTCTCTCTCTCTCTCTCGCTCTCTCTCTCTCTCTCTCTCTCTATATATATATATATATATATATTAATATAGGCTATATTATTATTATATGAGTTTAATATATGAATGTTCTACCAGGTGAGGTGTTTGAGTCCAGCACGTTGGACGTCGCTCAATCTCCCAGCATCGACAGCGACAGCTGTAGGGACATGGTGACCCCCACACGGTCTCGCACCACAGAGGACCTCTTTGCTGCTATTCACAGGTAAATTCCCACAATACTTTGCTGTGATCCCTTTTCCAGTCTGGTCTACTTCCTTTCCACTCCATCCCTCCCTCGTCCCGTAAACCGCATTCATAATTTTAAAGCGAGCTGTCCGATTTCAGATACATTCATCAAAGATGGAGCGTTGAAGGAAAGCAGCCTGTAAAGAGTAGAGCTTCTGTGGTCTCTGTCTGTCAGATTAAGAAATGCCTCAGGCTGCAGTATTACCCCACTGGATGCTCATATATAGTTTGGCTGTGTTAAAGAAACATGCACTCTCTTCTAATTCCTTTATAAAACACTCATAGCCTTACTGCAGTCCTTCACATGAAAATGCACCCGTGATGCACACTGAATAGTGCATTATTTAAAATTCATTATGTTGTTGTGTTTTAGTTCACACAGCCGTATTACGTATGCAGGCTTTCTATAGTCACGTGTAGTGGGCAGGTTTTTGAAGTTCTTCAGCACGTCACACAATTTCATTCGAGAGGATTTGGTTTCCTCCGCTACAGTGTGTGTGCGGCTTTGCTCTTCCTTCTGCTCTGGACCGCTGCAATCTCACACAGATATTAGAGCAAAAGATATCCTTGAAATGGAAGACCAGTTTAGATGTAGTGTGACAGAGCACCAGATGCTATGTGCTCTGTAAATCCTGCGGTTTGCCCAATGCCACTCTCAAAAGCACTGAGCTTTAGATGAATCAAATAATAAAACTGGAGTAAAAGATAGATTACAACCAGCAATTAAATAATTGTATATAGCAATTATCTTAATTATTTGACCTGCTGTGTTTTCAAGGACTTTACACTGCAAAAATAGATATTTATTCAGTATTTTTCTTATTTTCTACTTCAAAATATATAAACATGTTTAAATCAAGATAAGCATACATTTTGGTTAAAAAATGAATCCTATTACAGTTGTAATCTTAAACTAAAATAGTCATGTTTAAATATCAATGTTTTATTATATCCAATTAATAAATAGTCTCTGCACCTTATGCAATTTGGCTTCTCAAGTAAATTTAATCTTGTTTTAATCATATATATCTGCAATTTTTTTTAATATATATATTTATCTTGTTTAAAGGATTTGTTTAGGATATTTAGATTTTTTCTCATATTTTTTAGGTATTGTTTTTTAGATATTGTATATCTGGAAATTATCTGTATAATTTCAACTCTTGCTTCCACATCCCTTGTCATTTTCCCACGATGTCATATCTGTTGTTCTCTTCGTCCTTGGTCTTTCCTGATCTTTTCTATACTCCTTTTCCTTCTCTTTGTTCAGCCTGGACCAGTTGAACATGAACACCCCCCAACATATGAGGTGCGGTCTGGCAAGTAATTAGCCGTTGGCAATTCGTCTCGTGATGATGCTAGTGGGATTAGCTCTATAATCTCCCAGCGCATCTCAGATTTGGGATGAATTTCTGCTTCATCCCACAGATAATCCCACGCTCCCTAATCTGCAGCAGTTATGCCATGCTAATGAATTTGATTTGATCCTGAGCACACATGCTAGCATTCATTGACCCAAGGTCCCCCTACTGGTTGGTTGGGTGAATGAACAGCCAGGTTAAAATGATGCTGGGCATTTTGCCCAGTTTGCTTTGTTTATTAAGCTTCCATTATGTCTGCACTTCCATAAAGTTGCAACGCTTGCAGTATTCCTCTTTGGTTTGGCTTTTAAAGCACTGAATTTGTATTAAACATACCCCCCACACACACAATCCCACTATTTATATCCTGCATTAAGTTATTCCTGCTTTTCCAATTTTGCAGTGAAGTTTTGGTTTGCTGGGGTCTAGCTGAGTTTAATGAGAAAATGGAAGAGAAATCAATGAAGGGGGATAGGCTCATCAAGACTGAAAAAAGTAATCACAAAAATTGACTCATTCATTCAGCTTCAGAAGTAGTTAGATTAGTTGTTAACTGAAGTGAAGCATTTTAGTTAAGCATTAGTGCCGACAGTGAAGTGGCAGCTCTGTCAACGGATTTTTCTTTAAATAATAGTTTCAAACACAACTTTTTTGTTTGTACTAAACAAACTGATGTTCTCCTGCCTACTGCTAACTAATGTAAGCTTTAGCTAATATTTAAAAAATATTTTTTTGACCTTTGGTTTAGGGATGCACGATTTTAAAATTCTAAATTTTAAAACAATTGATTAAATAGACAATAGTAAAGTTCTACACCATTTTAACTAAAAAATGAAAACACTAAAAACTAAAACCAGTTGTTTTAAATGCTGAAGTGAATTTAGGCATCACAGCATTACAATGTACAGTACTGTTACAGATTTGCTAAAAATTTCATTTAACAGTGTTATTAAACTTGTAGTAGATGATGGCGAAGGTAATCTAAATGTAGTAGACGAAATAAACACAATTAAATATCTAATATCTTCAGATGCTGTTGACTGATACTGTGATATTGTGCATCCCTCCTTTGCGTTTTCATTGCTTTATTTCTGTTTTGACGAAACAACTTATCTGACATTACTTCATCTTTGTCTCCAGGTCGAAGCGGAAGGTCCTGGGGCGCAAGGAATCTGAAGAGGACCGTTCACAAAGTCCTTTATCCCCACCAGTCACCCCTACAGGAATAGCCCCCGGCTTAACTTCCCCTGTGCCACGGCAAACGGGCTCCATCCAGCGCAGCCTGCGCAAATCCGCGACCAGCAGCGACACCTTCAAGGCCCTCCTGCTGAAGAAAGGCAGTCGCTCTGAGACCAGCTTCCGCATGTCTGCTGCAGAGATGCTGCGCAGCACCGACCCACGATTTCAGAGGACTCGCTCTCTCGACTCCTCATTTGATCCAGCATCTCCAACGGGTGAGAGCCCCTGCTCTTCACCGGGCCATAGCAGGAGGACGCCCGAGGACTGGGTGCACAACGAGGGAATGTTCTCAACGTCCCTGTCGTTAATCGGTCCGAAGTATGGCCGATCTCGCACGCCGCCCTCCGCCGCCAGCAGCAAGTATAACGCCCGCAGCCGGATCCTCAGCAGCCCCATGACTGTTATTTGCGAGAGGGATGGAGAACTCACCGACTCTGAAGAACCATGCCCTGTTCCTCCATCAAACATGCCCCTTCCCATTTCTCAGGACTCTAACAGCACTTTATGTGAGCAGAGCAGCAGTTAGAATACCAAATGGCTCCTTGGCAAAGGCGGAACGTCTTCTCGGCACCAGAGATTGACTGAGGGCAGAAGACCAGGAGAGGCTGAACTCTAGAAGGTCTTGCCGCCCGCTAATCCTGGCAGCGCTGTCTAATGTTGTAGTGTGGGCTAAGACTTGAGGATCTAAGGTAGATCAAGCAGTCAGCTCAAGCAGTAGATGAGATACTGCTGTATCTGTAGTTCTTCAGAAAAAAAATAACCAATCTAATCCAATTTGACCTTTTCGGAGAAAACGCCGCTTTCAGTGGCAATACTAGATGCAACTTTCCAAAGCTTAGCAATTCATTCTCTTATTTTGTTCAGCTTTTTATTTCCATTCTTCAGCAGTAACATATTTGTGTAGGTTTGTTTTTTGGCGAAGCAGTTAACGAAAGTTGTAATGAAGGAATTACTATGTGACTGCGTGATTTGGCTGTAGTAGTTCAAGTTGATGGATATTTTGTCAGCGCCATTGGGGTGAGTCACATCTCAAACTTCACTGAGGCAGCTCTGTCAGCGCCTTACCGCTTGAGTACGCCGGTCTACAAAGACCAAGATAAAGAGCACACCGACCGATTCCTACAAGAGACTATCTTTCCATACTGTTCAGACCACAAGAAGTGTCTGGAATGGAAAAGGAATTGTGGGCCGAGAGATTGGAGTAATGACGGCATGTTTGTGGAAACATTTATGTTTGGTTTATAGTGTGTAGGTTTGCACTGTGTTCGTCTTCTTTTATTTGTCATTTAAAAAGCATTGTGTCTGTGTTGGTTATTTTAAAGTTAATTCTGACATCTTACTTGAAACAAATGACTGGTTTACTTGTAATTGTTTTGGTTACCAAAGAGCCGAACGGGACACTCTAACTTGCTGAAATGTGAGGGCATTTTTCAGCCTGACTTCTGTTCTGTTAACATCTAGCGAAAGTAACCGCTTAATTACTAATCCTCCTGTTTACCTGTCGAGCGATTTCTTTTCTTGTGCAGTTTTATAATGTTTTTTATGTATATACCTACAGAAATGTTAAGTAACGCCTGGACTTATTTTCAAAGAATTTGTACATTTTAGAAACCTAGGAGTGGCTTCCTTTTGTAGAGTATTTATTTTAGAATAGCCAGAATGTGGTTTGATATACTGTAAGCTGGAGGTGGGCTTTTTGGGATGGAGGTGAATGAGGTGAAATTAGACGGGACAGATGTGTGGCCAAGAGTCTTTAAATTCAGATTCACCAGTCACAGAACTTCTATTTTGTTCCTTCACCCATCCTACTGATGTAAACGCAGATCAGAAAAACAGAAGAAAGAAAATGATGGTAAAGAGGAAGCAAGCTGCTAACTCTCCAGAGTATGTCTCTGTAATAAAACATGGTGATATTTAAAAATTGCCCATCTGTCTTGTCTCTTGTCTTTTATTCACTGCCACCTGTCAGCCGTCAGCCCAAACCACAATATCATTAGCACCGTCACCATGACACCCACAGCCGTACATCAACTCCAGAGGCTTTGCAGGGTCATCAAGCCCTCTTTCTGTTCTACTGACCATCATTTAAAGCTTGATACAGTGACCTGGACCAATATCGTATACAGAATGATCTTTATGGGTTCTATCACGACAGAGGTCATGAATCCTTGTTTATGATTCGGCTACAACAGAGAGATAGAAGTAAGCCCCTTGTTTCTCCACATGCACGTCATCTTTTGTGCTGAGCTTGTGAACATGATATTCAAGCAACCGTTACCTCGAAAATAAACCTGATGACGGTGCAGAGAGTGTGTTTGGCCTTGTAGGATTTCTCTAGCTAGCACCTGAGGTTATGTCCTTTATCAGATGAAGTACAATTTTTGCTGGCTCTTTTAGTAATTTTAAATGACCAAAAAAAAAAGTTAATTCATGTCATGTTTCTGTTTATACACTGCATAAATGTGTTGACTTAAACCTTCGGACACTAACTTGCTGAAATGTGAGGGCATTTTTCAGCCTGACTTCTGTTCTGTTAACATCTAGTGAAAGTAACCACTTAATTACTAATCCTCCTGTTTACCTGTCGAGCGATTTCTTTTCTTGTGCAGTTTTATAATGTTTTTTATGTATATACCTACAGAAATGTTAAGTAACGCCTGGACTTATTTTCAAAGAATTTGTACATTTTAGAAACCTAGGAGTGGCTTCCTTTTGTAGAGTATTTATTTTAGAATAGCCAGAATGTGTGTGGTTTGACTGTAAGCTGGAGGTGGGCTTTTTGGGATGGAGGTGGATGGAGGTGAATGAGGTGAAATTAGACGGGACAGATGTGTGGCCAAGAGTCTTTAAATTCAGATTCACCAGTCACAGAACTTCTATTTTGTTCCTTCACCCATCCTACTGATGTAAACGCAGATCAGAAAAACAGAAGAAAGAAAATGATGGTAAAGAGGAAGCAAGCTGCTAACTCTCCAGAGTATGTCTCTGTAATAAAACATGGTGATATTTAAAAATTGCCCATCTGTCTTGTCTCATGTCTTTTATTCACTGCCACCTGTCAGCCGTCAGCCCAAACCACAATATCATTAGCACCGTCACCATGACACCCACAGCCGTACATCAACTCCAGAGGCTTTGCAGGGTCATCAAGCCCTCTTTCTGTTCTACTGACCATCATTTAAAGCTTGATACAGTGACCTGGACCAATATCGTATACAGAATGATCTTTATGGGTTCTATCACGACAGAGGTCATGAATCCTTGTTTATGATTCGGCTACAACAGAGAGATAGAAGTAAGCCCCTTGTTTCTCCACATGCACGTCATCTTTTGTGCTGAGCTTGTGAACATGATATTCAAGCAACCGTTACCTCGAAAATAAACCTGATGACGGTGCAGAGAGTGTGTTTGGCCTTGTAGGATTTCTCTAGCTAGCACCTGAGGTTATGTCCTTTATCAGATGAAGTACAATTTTTGCTGGCTCTTTTAGTAATTTTAAATGACCAAAAAAAAAAGTTAATTCATGTCATGTTTCTGTTTATACACTGCATAAATGTGTTGACTTAAACCTTCATTATGCAACTTTACATAATATATTAAAGAGAGTGCAAAATTCTTACTTCCGCCAGCAGGGGCTTCTGGGTATGCAGGGTATGCACGTGCATATGGGCCCGGGCTGATTGGGGGCATTTGAGGGGAACCTTTTAATTAAAACGAGGGAACGAATTCTTAATTTGTGGCCACAATAAATATGTTTTTTTTTTTGTCAGCATGCTCTTTTATCAAAAGACTATCGAAAGTAGCCATTCTTTCCATTGAGAATACACAAAGCCTTAAATTGAACACCAAGGACATTGTAGATGGATTTGCCGAAAGAAAGGCATGGAGAATTGAATGAAATTAGATGAATTACAACTAAAATGAGTGAGGTTTTTTTGTGTTTTGGGCCGCTGTGCTAAGAATGTGTTTGCATTAGGCTAAGTAATTTAGTAAATATGGTGGCGTTTTAGTGCCATAATATTTTTAGAAGAGTCAAAATTACGAGATTAAAGTTGTGTTATATTGCCTGAATACAGTTAATTAATGTGAATGTCCCACTACTCAAAAAAAGAAAAAAGAAATGGGGCCCTCTCACATACAAATGTTTTTGCCATTTTTGCATATGGGCCCGGGGTTGACTTGCTACATCACTGTCCTCCAGCATACAGCGCTATCGTTACCAGCATGGAGTTCACCCCAGACCATGGGCGTAGTTTATGGGGGAGCCAGGCCCCCCTGGCCCCCCCACAGCGATTTAAGAATTTTACTAAATATTTATTTATAAAGTTTTCTCTATGAAGTAAAAATGTATATAATGCAGTTAATAATACATGTAAAAGTGAATACGTAAAAGTAAATACATTTTAAATTGTTATTGTAAGTAAATTAATAAATCAAAACAAACTTAACGTCTCCCTCAATCTCATTTACGTAAGAATTGTCACTTTGGCCCCCCCAAACTCAAACGTCAAGCTACGCCTATGATTGTACATCTGCCAAAAATACGGTTAGACTAGGATGACTGCAGCTGTCTACTCTCGTCCTATTTCAAGACGAGGCGTCTGGCATCTTATTGAACTTATTCAATAACGACCGGCGAGATTTGCCGCTTGAAGTCGAGGAGGAGTTGAAAACGGAGCAGTTAATAGTAAGTAATACAGACCCTCTCATCTCCCAATAGTAAGACAAGTCGCCATGGTTTCGTTTCTGTTTTCAAGCAGGCGCAGTGAGGGAAAAATCAGTTTAGGGCAGTCTTCAGCTGTGCGATACCCTCACGAGGGGCGTCTAAAATTTCTGACATGTTAGAAATTCATCCGACCATCGATCGTCCCTCCTTATCCCCTGTACACTGCACGTCAAAAGACGCACGACAAAGCCGAAATTCTTCCCGACTCAAAAAAAGTAGTCAGAATTCGGCTCTAAAGAAATAAAAAATCGCACAGTGTACCGGCCTAATGGATTATTTCGAAAAGGTAACAAAGTTTCAGTGTTTTTTTTTTTTATTATTATTGCTTAATGTACATAAGACAGGAAACAACCAACAATGTAAGACACTTCAAGTTTCAGTGTTAAGCATTAAAACATTAACTGCAACAGTGTCAAAACAATGCATAGTTTGGTGTAATATGATAAATCTGCTCTTCTGCCTGATTGATTACAGGCACACAGCAGAGCAAATAAGCGAATCACGTGTGCTGCTGTGCTGTGCTAACCCAGGCTAATATCAGAATCAGAAAGAGCTTTATTGCCAAATGTGCTTACACACACAAGGAATTTGTCTTGGTGACAGAAGCTTCCAGTGCACAGACAGGTTGACAAGTGACAAGACACATAAATATGTAAAAACACACTATAGACAGTACAGTAGGCTATAGTTTTAATATAGTTTTTACTCCTATGTGTTTAGCTTTTTATTTCATTTGTGAGACTTTATTTTTTGTTTGAATAGTTTGATTAGTAGCAGCCTACCTAGTTGTCATTGGTGACTAGTACTGCAGTGTTTACAATGCTTGAAATAAACCTCAGTTATACAAATTGAATTGAATAGTGTGTGCTATAAAATAGTATAAACAGCTAGTACATTAAGAAAAAAAAAACTTGGTTCTAGGACTGCGGTCATGAAACTGCAGTCTCCAAGCGCGGCAGGATCATGCTACTCGTTTATACGAGCAGGGCCAAACAACAACAATGTTATTTCGCAAAATGCGTGCAGTTTTATGTTTTAAAACGTTTAAAAATATGTACAAGTTATTTTAAAGGCACAATATGTAAGATTTTCATAAAAACCATTTGCACAGTGTGATATATTTCATGCAGTTGACGTTATCCCAAATGTTTCCAAAGAATTTGTAAATCCAAAGAAATTCCAATTTGAAATAATGGCTCATCCCTTGTCATTGTCGCCTATCAATGACGTAATATCCGCACTACTGTTGCCAACTCTCGCGAGGCAAATAAGCAACCGCAGCTTCAAAAACATGCCCAATATTTTTTGAAAATTATCATCAATCTTATTTATTATCAATTATTTATTACCAATAAATGAGCCCGCAATATATTAAACTGAAACTATCCTTTTATCTGAAAAGCAAAAACATAAGTTATTTTACAAAAATCAGCAAACTGCAACAAAGCAGGAACAAAACTCATCTCCAATCACCTGTGAGCAGAATAGGATTGAACAGATGGAAAAGGAGAAAAACACAAGAGCTTCAAAGGGGAGCTGTAACATAACCACATATTTATAGCCTACTAAAATATTGGCTATTCGAACCAAATCTACTCTTAGTATTAGTATAGGCCTACTTGTTTTTGGTTTTTTAACAGCCCGTGATTATTAATACATTACAAAAACATTGTAAAAATAAAAAATTAGGCTACCTTATAAAGAAAAAAAGTCACCCCACTCCTCTACGTCTACTATCATCGCTTGGATTACAGCGTCACCCTCATTGAAGAAAAATCACGTTCAAAAAGAAGGCGTGTGCGGAGGGGGCGGAATATTTGACCAATTACGCTACAGCTACGGTGGCCGAGAAGAGCACACGCTTATCCATCTGCACCACTGGAGCTGATATTTTATAGCCACTTTTAACTAAATCTAAATAGACACCCCGTATTTTTTATTCCAGAGTAAGGGCAATTCGTACAATACATTTAAACTGAGCTACTTTAATACCATCTCCGAACTTTCTACCACGACTCT